TATTGTTTATCTGGTTATCTGTCAGCTGGTGTTTAGTGGTGTTTTGGTATTTTCCTGATTTCAGTCCTGTTCCAGTCTTATGTATTAGTTTCTGTACCATCATGTTTGAGGTCTGTCTGTTTGCTAGGTGTCTATTTATGTTCTCTGCCAGTTTCATTAATAATCTGATTTTGATCATTCTGCTTTAGTCTCTGTGTAGCCTTTATTATTATTATTCATCCGCAGCTTTAAGTTACTTAGTATCTGTCTTGTCTCGTATCTTAGTTCCTAGTTTGGTGCCTGCAAAGGGTTTCTGGGCCTTTAATTGGTCTCTCAGTCTGGTTCAGTGGAATTCACAATCATGGGGAAGATTGCTGACCTGACAGTTGTGCAGAAAACCATCATGGAAAGCCTCAAAAGGTAATTGCAAAAGAAGTTGGATGTTCTCAAAGTGCTGTATCAAGGCACATTAATAGAAAGTTAAGTGGAAGGGAAAAGTGTGGAAGAAAAGGGTGCACAAGCAGCAGGGATGACCATAGCCTGGAGAGGATTGTCGGGTAAAGGCCATTCAAATGTGTGGGGGAGCTTCACAAGGAGTGGACTGAGGCTGGAGTTACTGCATCAAGAGCCACCACACACAGACGGGTCCTGGACGTGGGCTTCAAATGTGGTATTCCTCTTGTCAAGCCGCTCCTGAACAACAAACAACGTCAGAAGCGTCTTACCTGGGCTAAAGAAAAAAATAACTAGTCTGTTTCTCAGTGGTCCAAAGTCCTCTTTTCTGATGAGAGCAAATTTTGCATCTCATTTGGAAACCAAGGTCCCAGAGTCTGGAGGAAGAATGGAGAGGCACACAATCCAAGTCCAGTGTGAAGTTTCCACTGTCTGTGTTGGTTTGGGGAGCCATGTCATCTGCTGGTGTTGGTCCACTGTCTCTTTATTACGTCCAGAGTCAGCGCAGCCGTCTACCAGGACATTTTGGAGCACTTTATGTTTCCTTCAGCAGACGAGCTTTATGGAGATGCTGACTTCATTTTCCAGCTGGACTTGACACCTCCCCACACTGCCAAAAGTACCCAAACCTGGTTCAATGACCATGGGATTACTGTGCTTGATTGGCCAGCAAACTCGCCTGACCTGAACCCCATAGAGAATCTATGGGGCATTGCCAAGAGAAAGATGAAAGACATGAGAACAAACAATGCAGAAGATCTGAAGGCCGCTATTAAAGCATCCTGGTCTTCCATAACACCTCAGCAGTGCCACAGGCTGATAGCATCCATGCCACGCCACATTGAGGCAGTAATTCATGCAAAAGGGCCACAAACCAAGTACTGAGTACATATGCATGATTATACTTTTCAGAGGGCTGACATTTCTGTATTCAAAATCCTTTTTTTTTATTGATTTCATGTAATATTCTAATTTTCTGAGATTTTGAATTTGGGTTTTTCATAAGCTGTACGCAATAATCATCGAAATGATACCTAATACAGGCTTGAAATATCTCACTTTGCATGTAATGAGTCTATAATATATTAGTTTCAACTTTTAAGTTGAATTGCTGAAATAAATGAACTTTTGCACGATATGCAAATTTTTCGAGTTTCACCTGTATATGCTTGCTTGTTTCCCTTCAGTTTTGTCCCGGTCATTGTAGCGTGTAGATTCTCTCTGTCTGTCTGTCTGTGGTTGTGGTTGTAGTTTGCGCTGTCTCATCTTGTTACCTGACTGTTCCCTGTTTGTTCTTTGGTTTTTGGATTATACTCGTTTTTTGGATTTTCTGTTGGATCATCTTGTTTGCTTGGACTACTATTATTTTGGATTATGGACTCAGCCACTCAGTTGTAAGTGTGCTCGCCTTTTGTTTGCTTAATAAATTTCTGAACTGCACCAGTCAGCCTTAGTGTTCTGCATTTGGGTCCACCAAACTGCTCCACCACCCTTCCACACCACAAATCCTGAAAGCAGGAAACTGAGATTTCAAAAACTTACTTATCATTATCATTTTGTGTCATCAGTGTGCATGTAATTTTCATTGCTTTGAGGGATTGTTAAAAAAAGAAAGCATCCTGACTGAAAACATCACTAACTGACATGGGATATGCGCAGCCCAGGAGCAGAGGGCTCTGCAGCGGGTGATTAAAACAGCTCAGAAGATAATTGGTACCCATCTCCCGAGCATCAGTGATATCAGAGAAGTGAGATGCCGATGCAGAGCCCAAAGGATACTAAAGGACAGTACCCACCCAGCCACAGCCTGTTCACCCTGCTGCCTTCTGGGAAGAGAGATAGACGTTTCTGCTGCCACCAGACTGCAAAGCAGCTTTTCCCCCCAAGCTATCAGACTTTTAAACTCAAATTCATTGTCAACCCTGCTACATTGAATGTAGTTTATTTCTGTTTACCATTTTTATATTTGCTTTTATGTTACTGTATATTTTCTGCTATGTAACAGAAGAGAGTTACAAACTCAATTTCTCTCCACAACCTGTTGTAATGTGACAAATAAATCTACCTTGTAATCAGAAATTAGTGTATATGCCACAAACACTACTGTTTTCGTTCCATTATGGAATATTTGAGCACATTATTTAGTCGATACATTTTCCACTCAAATAAAACGGCGGACAGTAATATATAGTTAAATAGGTTGATTTCAGAAACGGCAATAGATCCATAGCACTACAAATCAAAAACTCCACAGGGTACCTTTAATTGAGCTTATACCATAATTAGTACTAACATGAGTTAACAGGGATGATTGCTAAAATAAATAACACATTTAATTTATTGATGATATTCTGAACACGAAATGCATGATTTAGTAGTTCAACAGTAAATATGATCCTTAAAAAGATTAGTTCTTGGTAGAAAGAACTAAAATAATCTAACAAACAACTCTAGTAAAAAACACATTCGGTAATCTCTCTCTCACGTGTGTGTGTGTGTGTGTGTGTGTGTGTGTGTGTGTAGTCAGGTAGTAGTAGTAGTAATCCCTGTTTTGCTGAAATTGCTCATGTGAGATGAATTATCACCCAACTTGATTTTGTGTCCAATCTCAGGAATATGCACATTTCTGTGACATATTCCTGTGTAATGAAATCTTTACTGTCATAAACCACAGCTAATCAGCCTCCTGTTCATCCTGTTTCGCTGCATTTAAGCGTAGCAGTACAGCAGAGGAGGCTTGTCCATGTGTTATCGTGATGTAATGATGTGACAGTTAAGCTCTGCGCTCTCACTTGGTAAAATGGGTCATGGCTGGATATCGGCATAATTACCCTTCATTGGCCAAGCTGTCCTTGAGCAGGAAATGAATATTTCTCTATTATGTGCAGGGTCAGCTGATGTGTCCTTCAAATTTAATACATGACATTACGTTGGTGTAGACTCATAGGACACAGTCATGTACTGTACACAAACAAATAAGTGCGTACAAACACACACACACAGTCATCAGTAACATCCTAAAAACCTTCAAGAAAAGAAACCTATTAATCAATCTCATGCGCAACAACATACATCTTCTGTCTCAAAGTGTCAGTTATTTCCTTCAATATAACTGCCTTGAAACCGATTCTCATTCTGTATAAGGAGGCGCAGAGCAGCTCTCTTTTTGTCCACACCAGGGACAGCACTGCAGCAAAACCAACTAGAACAAATCCACTGCAAAAAAAGAAGCCTGTAAAGAAATAAAATAATAATCCATCCATCCATTGAACAGATTGGTCCCCTGGCTGCATCCTGATCTCAAAGTTTTCTTTGTTTCCTGGACTCAAAGTAATTATTTATACATTCAAAGAAAAGTGCCATCAAAGACTGTCAACCATCCGTAAACTTAAATGACCTTATATTGCCCCCCATGTCTTCTTACTGATGTACCAAAGTATTGTTCAACCCATCCTGCTCTACTGCTCCACCTGTTTCTTCAACTTGCTCTCTGTCACAAACCGGGTCGAACTCACATGCATAACCAACACAGCTGCCAAGATTATAGGCCTCCACACACACAACCTCTCAGAGCCTGTACTGTTAGGCCATCAAACACATTGCAAATACAAAAGCACAGGACATCATCAATCACCACTTCATTGTACTGCCCTCTGGGAGCAGGTACAGGTCCCTGAGGTGCAGAAAGGCTGGGTTTGGCAAAAGCTCGATACCCTGCAGACATAGCAGCCATATACAGGTTGACTCGCTAGGGAAACGACAACACTTGTTTTCTATGTTGTTTTCGCCTGCCATTGCTGTTGTCACTGGTGTGCGATGATGTGTGCCTTCCCAGTGATGTACAGTGCTGTGAAAAAGATTTACCCCATTAACTAACTAACTCTGGGAATCAACAAAGGATTTACAGCAAACAATGTGGGAAATCCTTTAAATTAAACTATATACCTAAATATCTATATAAGCTGCAACCGTAACAAGGAATGGTAACCAAATGAAAGAAAGAATTTGTTGACATTGAGCTAATGCTCAATAAATAATAAACAAAGCAAGTAATGTGGCAAGAGACTCTATTTCAACCCAAAGCACCATATTACACAAATTGGGCCTTTAAAAGTAACAATCTGTGAAGTCCTACAAGTAAATTGCTGTTTTGCCTTAACGGCGTTATGACCATCTGTGGTGTGTTTTCTTTGCATGTGACTCCTGGAGAAAACATACAGAAACTATAGCAAATGTGCCCACTGTGATTCCCAGCATGCACGGCTGGTGTGTTGACATTCATCGATTCACATAGATGCTCAAAGTGAAGCAGGAGTCACTCAAATAGGGCAGCACATCTGGTGTTTCAGGCTTGGAACAAATAAGCAAGTGATACTTAAATACACATTTACCTCCTATAGTCAGAAAGCTGGCTGATCTTCAAAATTATAACATATAAGTAAATGAACTTGAGTCACAGTAAACGCCAAAGTCATGTCTGGGATATGCAAAACAAAGCACAACAATAATGACCACTTGTCAGTCATGTTTCAAATCAATCTTATTGGTTCTTTCCTCATTTCCTCCAGGCCCCCCAGCTCGGCACTTTGATGGGTGTCTATCTGCCGTGCATCCAGAACATCTTCGGAGTGATCCTCTTCCTCAGGATGACCTGGTTGGTTGGAATTGGAGGAGTCATTGGGACTTTCATCATCGTCTTCATGTGCTGTTCCACAGTGAGTGTGTTACCAGCTCTTATTTTAGCCCCTTCAGTTGCAGCACACTTGGGGGGGTTGACCTTGTTTATCCTGAAGTCACTAAAGAGTGACCTTAAACTGGAGAGCAGCATATTGTAGCATACATGGCAGCAGATAGTGTACAGGTAATGAGCTGTGCAGTAGTAAAAGATACCAGATGTTCACTGTTATTACCTTCATTTATAACAGTGGAGGTTAAAGTAGCTAAGGAGCTGCTGGCGTTAGCCTTGGGTAATCGATCATGAGAAATTTAGTTTACCATTTGTACTGCAGATATCACTTTAATACTGTATCTGTGGCTGGTTTTGGTCATGGGCAATGTTGCAAATGAGCAGCATTTTAATACGAATGTGATGACGTACCTTAATTTGTAAGATATTTATTTCACTGGATTAGCTAAAATTACACATTCCCATCTGGTTATTTCATCTATAAATGGTTCTTCAATTGTTCACCAAGAACATTTGCTCTATCATGAAATATATAGATATGGTAGTGTAATATTACATCCCGTCAAACCAGGGTTAATGGCTATAATTCTCTTCTCAGCCACCTCCTCTGTGTGGTCCCAAAAAACCCCGAGCACAAAGCCGGTCTGCCTCTTCCTGTCTGAAGCTGAGATTTAACGGCCCTACAGACCACTGCAAAGAGTCATAAATTGTCAGAGTCTCTAAATACAGACTGTAAATAACTTAAGTCTCCTGAGAAAGAATTTATATTTACCCATGCACACAATCTATAACATTACATTGTTAATTCAGTTCAATTAGTAAATGTTATCCCTAACAATCAGTTCATGTTAAAGGACAATGTTGACGATATTTTTGTTTTGTCAACAAATCCTATGACAAGGCCACAACCAACAGTGTTATAGTGTGTGTTGCCCCAAGCCCATTAATTCCCACTGAAGACCTAACTCTTCAAAAAATGGTCATGATTATTACTTTCTTTCGTTTTTCTCTTTTTTTATGGCTGAGTAATTTCTTAAAACAGCTGGGAATTGTCGTTTTCTACTCAACAGGAGTAAGTGATACATTTGTTAGGGACTATTCAGCTGCTTGTGAGTATTTACACCACCAGTGGGGACTCAACTTAAAATACACTTCAGTGCCTGTTTTCATGCTAATGAGGTAACAAGTCACACAGTGCAACAGTTTGGCCCAGTGATGTGTTTTTAATAGTTTTCTTAATAAATAACAATGGAGGTCTATTACACAGAAGTGTAAGTTATATCAGGCTTTGGATCAATTCTTGGTTTTTGAGGTGATTTGTTGACAGCAAGAATTGACAGAAAATTAAAACCTTGTTAGCATCTCCCATTCTCAAGTTTTCAACTTGATTCCTGCAATCGTCACCACTGTCTGAAGTATAACGTGCAGCTTTAATTAGAATTTACCAAATACATCAGCCATCCTGTTTTCTACCTTTAATTTATACACACAGATTTATACATAAGGTTCCTTATCATTGCTCGACATGTGGATCAATGTGTGACTAGCACACACAATTATGTCCTCATAGTTAAGAGTTTTATTGCCTGTGGGAAACTATTTTTACTTCCTAAAGTGGTAATATTGACCCTATTTCAATCCAACAAAGCCATATTAAGGCAGCATTTCAAGAAAGGAAGTTTTATCTTATTTTAGCCAGTTTGATCATATTGGCCATTAGTGGATGATTTTAACGTTGCTGTGACTGCAGTCACATGACATCAGCTGTGACGGCTATCATCAGACATGTGCCAAACAAGGCCCCCTTTGAGGTATGCAGAAATAAGGGATCTGCGAATCTAATCTGTAAAAAGAACAAAATGGATGATGACACACTGTGATGTTCCCTGGTTCCCATTAATGTCAGTGCCATGGAGCTGTCATGTGTCAGAGTGACTTTGGTGTTGGACTGACACCCTGTCGTGGCCTTGAGACTCGAATTACAAAAGACAGTGTCCCACAGGATCGTCAGCGTTGCTGTCAGTGATCTGAGTGGCTGTTGCAAACTGATTGTGTTTGACTTGTTTGATGCATTTGATTGTCAGGGAACATCTAATGTGCCTCCTCACCGAATGCCTAACATGTGATCTATTCAGGAGAAAGGAGTTATTATGTACGTTATTGTACAGGGCAGTTAAATTCAAATTGTGTGGTCTGTCAGCTGTCAGGGTTGTGTATCTTTTCTCTGGTTTGCCGTGTGCGTGGCAGGACTGTATGTTGGCGTCTCTGTGTGTTTGTGCAGCCTAGATTCTCCTCTAGCACAGATGTATTTATAGAACAACCCCCTCAAATCCCAACCATAGCAAAGTTGCCTGCACAGACACACAGGCAATATGCTTCCCAATCATGTTTCTCTGTGACAGTGTAGAGATGGCTTTGAAACAGCCAACAACTGAGAGAAAGCTGTTTTTTTTATTTACTGTTTTTGTATTGATTGTTTTACTCATTTGAAAACTGATACAACATGTAATTGCTGTAGATGCATTTTGGGGGAAAAATTAAAAGATTGATATTCTAACTGTAAATTTTTAATCAAACCAAGGAGGGCCAATCTAGTGGACAGTTTATAATTGTTTTCCAGTGGTGATGAACCTAAGGACACAGTATAATTGTTGGTGTATTTATTTTCTAAAAGAGGAAATATTCTGTGGATGTTGCTGGAAAAAAAACTGTAACTGTTACTGTAAAATAAAGAAGATCAAAGTTGGTTCAGACTCACTCAGTTCAAGTCATGCAAACACACAAACATAGATGCTATGCTATATTTCTTTACATGTCATACACTGGTGAATATTTAACATCTTAAACATATATTCTGTTCCTCCCTCCTTCACTCGCTCATTTTTTCTCACAGTTTCTGTCTTTCTAACGCACACACATGTACACACACACACTTATTTTTTTATCAGTCACACCAAGCTTATAACAGAGCCCCAGGGGCGATAAGCCTGAGCATGAGCGGTGTGTGAGAAACCCCCACCACTTTCCTCCTGAGCTCCTTACATAACACATAACCACCTAGCCCTCCAGGGGTTGCCAGCAACACACCGCAGGATTGTGTGTGTGTGTGTGTGTGTGTGTGTGTGTGTACATGTGGTGTACATGTATGCAGCGATCCCCACTTTAGTGAAATCCACAGGAGTTGAAATGCAGAGGAATCATGCATGCTATAAAGCTCAATAACATACAGCGTGATCCCATGATTTATTCACATTAATGCATGATGGGATATCACTGACAGGGCACTTTTTATTAGATGCTCAATCACAGCAGCACGTATCTGTAGCTGTCGAGCACTTTACGCCATTATTTTTCCGTCATGCAGCATTTTGACATAACATTAAGGAGTCGCCGAACCCGCGGCGCGTTCTGGGAATTATTATTAAGTGAGGAATGAGCCTCCATGTGGAACAACTCTAACACATTATACCATTAACCCTGAAATTATACACGCAATCATTTTAAAAGTCACTATATGATTGCAGGCAGCGCTCCAAAAGTCTGAATATTTAGACATGCGCTGCAATGTATTTTGGTCCCATGTAATGAATGCAGGCACCAAGATAAAATGAGGTTTAATATTCTAGATGGAAAGTCATCTGTTGTGTGGCCATACTCATTACTTACAGGTCTTGAATCCTAATGCTATGAGGGGAAGGGTGGTCTGCCCTCTGCCGTGACTCATTTAAATGCTAAGGATGCTTTTCTCTCTTCATCCCTTTCATTTTTTACTCTCATCTCTTTTGCTTGCTCAATTTCCCCAACCCTTTTTACATTTTACTGTCTCATTATTTCCTCTCTTCTCATCCTCTCTTTTGATTCCCTTGCCTCTCTTTCCACCCACCATCTACCTGTCCTCCTCTCTCTCTGTCACACAGCTGCATCTCGTCCTCTTGTGCTCAGTCTCCACGATGTCAGTCTGAAAGTAAAAATCACCTCCATCTCCTTCACCTGACACTTTTGCCTTCTACAGTTTACCATCCACGGGGATTTCAAGTGATAAACAACACTCTGAAAATAGACTTCTACTGTACCATTGTGTGTGAATTGATGAAGTTGTACTTGACAAAACTATTCTGCATTTGTGTAATGAAGCATGCTAATGAAGCACGCTCTCGGGGCAGCGCGAAAACTCCATTCCTGTCAAAACCAATTTCCGCTCAACTCTGAGGTCGACTAAAGGCCAAATCAGAGTTTGTCTGTAGCTTTGGGAAGAAACAGAACTAAATTGTCCTTTGCAGTCAGCGTCGCGGGTATATCAGCAAGTAGACTTTTCTTAAAAATGAAAATTAGCTTCTTCATCAAATACATTCTTCAGGCTCGGCCATAATCATGATGGCTTAGCAATTATTCAACTGTCGCTAGCGTTCACACTGCCTTAGAAGGAAGGATATTTAAGCTGTCTGCTGTCGTACCTCATATGAACAAGACAGATGGTGAGCATAATCTGACATTTTCTACTGGCACGCTTGGAGGCCAGAGGGCGAGTGGGTGCATGTGAGTTTGGAGGTACAGGCACTGACTCCAGGCTTCATAGAGCAAGATAGTATTAGGAAAGCAGAGTACATTGTATACTTTATAGAACAAAATCTCAAACCTTCACACCTTACCTGCACTGCCTAAAAGTGGGACAATAAAGCAGGCCACAGGCTCTGGGTCAGTGGGAAAAAAGATGCTGCACATCCTGCAAAACTATGGCAGAACACTGCTGTCTCCAGTGCTAGTCCACCAGTCAGTTGCTGTTTCAGACATGAGGTCATCAGGTAACGTGATTGGGCCTTTTTGACCATATATCATCTGACCAGGGAAAAAATGAGAGACAAAAATATGAAAAATTAAGTTTGTCTAAAGTATCTGCTCCTTATGGAACATCATTTTCATTTACATTTGCAGCAAATCAAAGTGTGACCTTCTGAGATCAGCGAAAACTTTGCAGGACGGTCGGAGTGATCTTCTGTGTTTGTGACAGCAGCTGATTAATGACATTTG